CAGGGCAGTGCCCTGGGAGAGGAAAAAAACCCAAAATACCACCCTTGAAAGTTACGGTTTGCCTCAGGCTTTAGACATGCTGGGGGGACGTCACGCGTTTCCTCAGGCATGGTGCTCTGGGCTCGGCGTCCAGCTGTGGCCAAACTCGGTCACTCGTAGCCCTGGATGCTCTGTTCCGGGATCAAAGTCTGGGTTTGTATTAATGATTCCAGAACTGGGAGAAACGGGGCTGAGGAGAGGAGAGGAGAGGAGAGGAGAGGAGGAGAGATGCTGCAGTGCCGGGGAGCGAGCAGGCCTCAGTTCTGCCCTACACGGACCTGTGGAACACGGACCTGTGGACTTTCATGTTATTTCTATCTAGAGAATCTAGTTGGGCTAAAGTAGGAATAAAACAAAACTTCATGAACTGATGGAAGTATGTATCAGTTAGAACCACAACAGGAGGTGACATTTACACCATATCTGAAGCTTTGTTCATGCAAAGCCTTTGAGGCTCAAATAATTCTACAGCAATTGTTAGACATCTGTGGGATTATTGACCATGCATAAATTAAAAGTCACTAAATCTTTGCAGGGCTGGGGTTGTGTAAAAGACTCACAGTTCTGGTAAATTATAGTGATAGTCTCTGGAGTTGGGCATGCCAGGATATGTTTCAAACACAATAATTTCTGCAGGCAGCTGAGTGGTGCAGGGGAAATGCAATTAACAACTCAACATAACTAGGATACTTCTGTGGTGAAAAATGATAGGGGACTTGGAAATACCCATTGGTGCTCTGGAAATTAGTTATATGCCCTACCAGAAGAACAGGTTACAGGTTAGGTCATTGTGGAAGTTAATTATTTTCTTCCTAAACTGGAAACTTTCTTGCCTGCATATTCCTGGCACATTCACTGACTCTTATCACAAGCCATTGCTGTCATTTTCTCTTAGAGTTTGTGCCTCATCTGGGGTGATGTGGTGTTTTTGGGTAGGAAATCCCCTTAAGCATGTTTCTCTGCCTTTCCTCTGGGAGGATTTCATGCATGCATTTCAAAGAGCTGTTTAAAATGTCAGTACTGCAGACTAACTGTAGGTCTCCCTTTGCCTCAGAGAGCAGCTTTGTTGTTTGGGGGAATTTGTTTTGAATCAGTTTATTTCTGCTGCAGTGAATATTGCAGGGAGCTGGCTAACATCTCCTTTGAGTGTGCTGTTTACAAACAGATGTGGGCAGAACCCCAGGAGGCAGTTCTGGCAAAAGTACAGGACCTATGTGCTAGGAAAGACCACAGCGTCACCCTCACTGATCAGCACCCAGAGGACTGTTCTGCTCCAAAGACATAAATCAGTGTTAGCAATCTCTCTGCTGACCTTAGAGCCATGGTTTGAGGATGGAGATACAGCAGGAGCTGTTTAGGACTCTGGCAGCCAAACTCTTATGAATCTTGGTGCCCCAATTTAAGCTACAGCTGTCACTAGCTCCCTAGTGAATGACATCCTCGCAGGAGGGGCTGGAGGTAGAGGCACGCACCAACGCCACAGCTGTGCCCACAGGGATGCTGGGCTGTGGCCTGGATGGCAGAGAAGATGGCACATGTGGCCTCCTGCCTCTCCAGTGGGAGTGCAGCAGAGGAGGCAGCAATGCTGGAGCACCACATAACTGCTCTCTGAACACGAGGCAGAGCCCTTACAAAACTCATAAGCCACCAGGTACAACAAAGCTGGTCCAGGCACCAGCTGCAGCATCCCAGGAATCCAGACTTGGTGTTGTCATGGCTGAACTACTGTGGTTGCCTGAGGAGCCCGAAGCTACCTGCAGAGCTGTGTAGTCACAAAACCAATCGCAAGGCTGTTGATCCTGTGTTGCTCCAGCCGGAGGGTAACAGATGTGGTTTGGCTGTAGCAAGGTCTCATGACTGTGTTCCTCCTTGGGCAGGTGGGTGGGAAGAGGAGAGGAAAAAGAAAGAGGAGAGATCTGGGGACTCAAGCTTTCTGCCTCCACTCTGAGCTCTGCAGAAACGTATCAGTTCTTCTTGCTGTGCGGGACTTGGCTGCCCCTTGTGTGAGCCCAAAGTACATGTAAAGAGCACAGGAGGCAGTCACTGGACACATGACCAGGAGTCTGAGATCTGTGACACATCCTAGCGCTGAGAGAGCTCTGCTTCGGTGCAAGGCAGAGGGGCAGTAAGTTGGGACTGACAGCCTTTTGACAAGGTAACTGACCCTCCACCCACCCCTGTGACCTGCTGGCCAGGACATTTTCTGGCACTGGAGCAGTGCGGATTTGCCTCTTGTCTGACCACATTCCCTCTTCTCCCTGCCCCTGTCTGTCTTTCATGTGGCTGGGTTTCTCTCCTGTGTTTGTCATGTGCAGACTGAATGTTACAGATTCAAAAAATGTCCCTTTCTTCACTAAATCACTAAAATCACATTATTTTACAGCTGGATAATTATTAAATCTGTAAGGAACTAGCAGTATTTATATTATTCTGCAAATAGAAGACTGTTGACAATGCATGAAAATAATGACTTCAGAGTTTTCAGACCTCCTGCTGAGCTGACTCTTTTAGAGAAGTAAGGCCTTGAATTTTGGATCCTTTTTCAGGGAGCCTTTTAAAGTTTCCTTGTCTTATAAAGTGATGCTTTTTGCTGACCACACATCAAAATAATGTTTAAAACACCAATATATAGAATCTTTTCAGGACTTTGCTAGACTTTGCTACGTTCATTCCATTCCTGGCAACCGATATATCCCCAATGCTGATAAATTAGAAAAACTGTAAATATTTTTGTACCGAGTGACACTATGGTCAGCCAGTAATTACTGCATGATGGCTGGACTATCTGTGCAACATCTTGGTCCACGCTCTTACTTCTGTATTGTCATTCAGTAGCAGACATTGCATTTACAGAAGTCAGACTTGAAGTGCTTGTGTAGCGCTCCGTGCCTCTCTGCTGTATAAGGCGACTGAAATGTGATCTACAAGATTAGATGGGCGTGTAGGAAGGAAAGGAACGTGAATTACAGGAAAGCTGTCACAGTGACAAGGCTGAGCGCTACTGATTGAATGCAGGGTTAGGATCTCAGCTGCAGTGATGGTCACTGGAAAGCAGGGGCCAGACAACGGCCGAACTGGAACTGTCCTCAGCAGTTATCCAATTAACAGTCAGGACTGTTATTCCAGTGTATCCCACTGTGTAGTAGCTGTCCTGAAACCACGTGGTATTAACCAGGTTTGTATCTGTATCACTGTAGCATTTCTTGGAGAGATAATCAGGAATAACCTTGAAGAGACTGTTGTGGCTCCTGCTGCTGTGCATTTTTTACTGAAGATCCCAAGTGCCATGTCCCTGTGGGCTCCCCTGAGAAGATCTCTCCAGCTTTGCAGCCGATACTACCCAGCTCAGGCCTCTGTGAGTTATGAAGCCATAAAACAACAGTACAGACCAGAGGTGCCAGAGTACTTCAACTTCGCAAGAGATGTGCTGGACAGATGGACTGAAGTGGAAAAGGTAAGAGTTACTTGGCTTCTTTGATGCTGAAGTATTTAATGCTGGTCATTAATGCTGAGTATCTGGCACATCCAATAACCAAGGCACTGGGCTTATGTTCTGATTATAATCTGCTGATCATCTCATGCAGTTTGAACCTGTAGATCTCTTTAGGCCACACGCTACCGTGTCCAGGAGTCCAAACAATTCTTTCCTTTAAATCAGTAACTCCAGTGAGATTGAGTGTGAGTAAATAGGTGCCTCATAAATGAGACTGTGAACTGAACCACTCTAAACCGTGCATCAGTTCTCCCATCAGCCATGACCTGCACCCTACCTGGATGTGCCGGGGAAGTCCCTTGATCTCTGTGTGTTTCGTTGCCTGCTTGTAAAATGAATAATGAATAATATCATGTCCAACCTCACCCACCTATCCCAAATGTGAAATCTTTTGCATCAAAGACTTGGAATCTACAAAACTGAACAACTTTGAACCCCAAACCAGACATAAGCTCTATGGAAGGAAAGGGAATATAATAAAAAACCATGAAGTATTGTTTTCATCTTTCTTACTACATAGGTCTGGTCTCTAGGGACGTAGGACTGGTTTTGCAGGCTCAGGCTGTTCACGATGAGGGGCTAAATGCAGTTATGTCCAGCCTGGCAGCAGGAAGAGAGCAGAGGCATCACCTGTCTGGCACAGTTGTTTCTTTTGCAGGAAAACAGGTTTAGGCAGGCTGTAAGCAGAGCAAGGAACAGCCTCTGGAGAAGAGGTTTGGCCCTCTGGAGTGCACAGATAAAATCTGCTCCCCTGAAAATGAACCTTAGTGCTATTGTAGCTTCAAATAGACAATAAGGTGTCATATTCTTGCTGCCTCAGTGAATTTTGTGCTCAGGAAGTGACCTACTGCACTTTTGCTGCTAAGTGCATTGGCCCCCTTTAAAGCACATCATATGTGTACATTTCAAATCACTGCACACATCAGTTAGGTGGGACATTGATTAAAGCTCACACTGTGTGGGCCTGTGCTTTTGAAACTTTGATTTAATTTTCAGAAGTACCAGACAGGCCCAATTCCAGATGAAGTTGATAATGAGCTCTGAGTGCTCAGGAGACTCTAGGGCACAACCCAGAGGTACCATGCTGCTTTGCTGGCCTGACCTGAACCAAAAAGATTCTTCTTTCTCTGTGCTGGTTACTGTACAACTTCTTTAGAGTGTTCCATGATCAATATAAAACTCAGGAAAGGAATACAAATTTCATTTCATAAATGACATTTATAGGCTGTTCTTTCTAAGGGAGAGTTTGCCGCCTCATTTGGAATCAGTGGCAAATTTCTGTTGCATCCCAGGGTTTCTCCAGCACTGGATAAGTAATGAATGGTAATGAATGCTTTTCTTCCTCAAACTTAAGGTAAAGGCAATGTGTTTCTAAAATGAAGCATTTGTACTGTACCTGTTGTTCTACAGGAGGGAAGAAAGTCTAAAAACCCTGCATTATGGTGGGTAGATGGTGCCGGAGAAGAGGTGAGGTGGAGCTTTGAAGAGCTGGGAGTGCTGTCCAGTAAAGTGGCCAATGTACTCTCTGATGCCTGCGGTCTGCAACAAGGAGACAGAATTATTCTGATTCTGCCCCGGATCCCAGAGTGGTGGCTGGTGAATGTGGCTTGCATGAGAACAGGTTCGTAAAAGCATAGAAATTATATATAGGTACAGAAATTTTGCTTAAACCAATCCTTGCTATTTAATGAGCTCAGAACTACCAACACGCTAATGAGGATGAATTAATGTCATGCTGATCAAAACCACTCTTCATGCCAAGTTTTTCTTCATGGTGCTTTGAGGACTTTTGCACATGCTCTAGCTGTTAAGGAAACCCTGTGAATCCACGTGCATTTGTCATTCTCCTCTTTCCAGCACTTGTGACACATCGGAAATGCACCCTCTTGCTAACTTGCAGTGAAATTAGCCCACGCTTGACAAAGCATTTCACATGTTCCCCTGTGGGATCTGTTAAATACTCAGCTGCCCAGTATTTACAGCCCTGGATGTCTTGGTGCCCACAAGCACTAGCAGTACACACGTGAGGCAGCGGCTATGTTTACCAGTAAACAAGTCAAGTCCAGAGACGTGGCGTGTTCCAGGGCAGTGTTTTCAGAACAAGTTATTCTGTTATTTTGCTGTCCCACAATCAATATAATATTTGCTAACTTGTGCTGATCCTCAAATGGCATTTAATCCATCAAAGAAATCAGTATATTTATAAATGTAGGGCTAAGTCCTGCTTTTAGTACACCTCTGTCCCACTAAAGAACAAAGTAAGCTGAAGTCTGCTTGTAGGTACAGGTGTTATTCTTAAATGGTGAGACTGTTTTTCCATTCCCTTTCCTTCCCTTTAGGAACTGTCTTGATTCCTGGCACACAGCAGTTGACAGCGAAGGACATTCTTCATCGACTACAGAAATCCAAGGCAAAGTGTATCATCACCGATGATTCTGTGGCACCAGCTGTAGACTCAGTTGGGGCTGAATGCCAGTCTCTGAAATTCAAGTTGCTTGTGTCAGAGGGCCACAGAGAAGGATGGCTGAGCTTTAAAGATCTCCTGAAGTGAGTAAATACCACTGTGAAAGCACCACAGCAATCATGAAAGAAAAGCACACTGGTTTGTTTTGAATAGGAAGTGCTGGCACATGCCAATATATTTTCACTCTTTTTGGACTGTACAGGGGAAAAATATCAATGTTTATGACACTTTTGATTGCTACAGTTCTTTTTGTTAGATATTTTCAAAAATGTGTAAGTCACACTTTCAAATCACTTTATTCATCATTTTGCTTATTTTAAGAAATGCTCCTTCTGATCACCACTGTGTGACCACCAAGTGTCAAGATCCAATGGCCATCTATTTCACCAGTGGAACTACAGGATCTCCAAAAATGGCTGAACATTCCCACGGCAGCTATGGTATTGGCCTTACAGTGAATGGAAGGTACAGTATTACTTTAAATCAGGCGTATTTCTGTAACTGAATATATAGCAGAAAGAAGAGGAACACAAGATTTTTACCAGAAGCTTTTATTTCAATAGTTCAAAAAACAGCCGTTGTTTTCCATCCCAAAAGTGGGGTTTCTTTCCCATGAAACAGGCAGTTTCAGTCCAGCTGCCTTAGTTTATAGAGAATGTAGCAGTCATATAGTCACTAACTTTTTTTTTAACACATTCTTTAATTTTTGTTAAATTCTTCAGTGTGTATAGTTACCAGATTGCCCATGAACAGAACATCAGCACAAGTTTATGAAGTCTGTACCATAAAAGGGAAAAAAATCATGGCTCTGTTAGGCTTCTGGATTAGACACAGGTCCTGCAGGAACAAAATACTGATAGTTCAGAAACTTTAAACATATAAAGCAATGTTGTTTATAAAATCAATATGGCAGTGTACTTCACACTGACAGGCAAAGAATAACAAATCAGAAAATACCAAACTAGAAGTAAACAAACAAAAAAATCCTCATCCCTAAAAATGAGTTCAACAAAACCCTCGCAATCTCATACATATTCATACAATACCATGTTCTGAGGCAGTGTTAGTTTTGTCCATCAGTATATTTTTTCCCTTAGAAAAAGGCAACATCAGTCTATCCTGATGACATCTTCACTGTGCTGTGGCTTAGTCCTGCTCAGAAATTCAGCCTCTTCTAATTACCATTTACCAAAGACAACCAGTGATCGATTTGCTTTACTGGCAGATCTCTTGTTGATATTTTAATATTTGCCTTGTTCCTGCCAAATAGACTGTGGACCATTCCCTTGTGTTAACAGGTACTGGCTGGACTTGACTTCCTCAGATATATTTTGGAATACATCAGACACAGGCTGGGCAAAGTCTGCTTGGAGCAGCGTTTTTTCACCGTGGATTCAAGGGGCGTGTGTATTTGTACATAAGATGCCACGCTTCGACCCAAGCATTGTCTTTGAGGTAAGTGAGGATTGCCCAGCAATAAATGGCACTGTTCTCTCTGGCTGGTCATGCCCAGGTTTTAATTTCCGCTGGTGCTGCACAGGGGCCAGCACGCAGCACAGTTACGACTTTCACCAGATGGTAACGAACCCGTTAGTTAAGTAGTGAGTGCTGCAAACATATGCCCCAAAACAAGAGCATATCTGACATCCAAAGGGTTTATCATATACTCTGCTCTGGATTTGACTGCACAAACCTGCAAACATCCAGTATTAGGCCTAAAAGTGAAGTACACAAGAAATTGTTCTGGGATTTGTGGAGTACTTTGGTGGTGTTATTAAAATAAGTGACAATAACAGATGAATGAGAATTTCAGTTGCCTGCACAAAGTTAAGGAGTGAAGCAACCAAGGTTGAAGGCACGAACATTATATTCTCTTACATCCTCCACACCTCTTCATAATTTCAAAAAGACTACCATGTTTCATTTTACATGGAGTGACCTTATCATCATATCCATGTTAATGATGGCTGGAAATTGCTAATTAAAATTAGGATATGTCGAAGAACACTGTCAGTTGAACACCTACAGAGCATGTAAAAAAGTAGCCTTATGGTTTCACTTGTTTTCTGCTTAAACTGCAATTAATGAGGAAATTGTGCAAGAGAAACTGTAAAGCTTTCAAGAGCAAAAAACTGGTGTGTTGAACTATTGTAAAATGATGTAGGTTCTGTTTTGAAGAAGAAATTAAATAAACGTATCTGCTGTGTGTTGGTTTTGGCAAGTACAGCCCTAACTGCTTTTAGGACACTGAATGTTTGGTTCATGTGTTTCATAAGCTGGATACAGAGATCATCACATGATATCTTACAATGAAGATGGGACCTCACAGGTTTCAGTATATTGGCAAAATTTACTTTTTTAATTCTAAATTCTCTAGAGTCTGTCAAGATTTCCCATAACTGTCTTCTGTTCTCCTCCAACTGCCTATCGAATGTTTGTGCAACATAAACTGTCCAGGTAAGCAAAAGCAGAGTATCTTTGCTGGTGCATTTGATCAAAACAGTAAACCAAATACTTGTCTCACCTTGATTTTATTGCAGATTTACAGTAGCATAACAGTAACTCAGATCATGTATTTCTCAACATTTTGAATCTTACGTGTTAGGAACAAAGTCAGAAAAAAGATTTAGGGGTGGTTTAACCATTTTTTTTTTTCAGATTTGTTTTTGTTTAACACTATACATTTCACATGGAATGAGCAGGACTCAGTAAAAATTTTGGTTTTATGTAGAAAGGACCCCACAATACAGGAGTACAGTAGTGAATGGGGCATAGCAGATAGGCAACTGCCAATTACTG